ATTGTCCTGGGTACCCTTTTTTACTACTGACTAACACTTGTGTTCACATTGTGATCATTTTGTGTTTTTAAACCTTTTAAATCGAATTAAAATGGTTGGTAAGACTCACAAATGTGGGCAACCAAATTGTTTGTTCTCCGTGGAGGAGGATGTGCAATGTGACGATTGTAGAAAGTGGTACCACAAAACGTGTACACACCTAAATCTGACGGCTTACAAAAGATGCTCGAAGCCTAACTCGCATTGGTTTTGTATGTTCTGTTGTACGGATAAAAAGGCACTAATTCAGGAGGCTATGGGCCTGTTGGCTTTGGCCTGCAAGAAGAACGATGGCGGAAGCACTGACGGAGAATAATATGTCAGTGTAGTAAGTGCTGCTACCAGACCCACTAAACAACTGACTGCGGTTGACGGGAACGTGAAGTCATTAACGAGGAATGAAGTGCCACTTGATATTGACGTCGGCAGTCATACACCTCTAGTCGAAATAGAAGATCCGGATAAAGCTGTCACCGTTCCATGTAGTCTAGGTGTGGCTGTCCTGAGTGGTGACAAATGGACTTCAATAAGGAGAAAAAGAAATGGGAAGAAAAAGGCTGTGGGCAAAACGCAGCTGGCCAGCAAGGCATTTGAACGGATGTTATCAGAAGAAAAATCCTCACTGCGTGACAAGACAGATCTTTCTGAGAGATCAGCCATTTTTCACAAGATAAGAGAATTTTCAGATAAAGAACCAAAGGCGATATTTGAACACGATCTCAATCATATTAAGACATCATTAAGTAGACTACTCTCAGACAGTTTCAGGAGTAAGTATTTGTAAGCTTTATGGAATAGGAAAAAAAGGTGGATTCCGAAAGTCCTCCGAAAAACCGCCTCCTGAAGGTAACATTCAACACGGTGGAAGAAAGGAACCTGATTCTAAGTAATTCACGTAAACTGATAGGATCCGGAATATATGTCCGTGAGGATCTCAGCCTAGCTGATCGTATTAAGAGACGAGTTGCAGAAGCGGAAATAAATGAACGTAGCCAAAACGGTGAAAGAAACCTTGTTCTTAAGGGTTTTCAAGTTGTAAAAGTTCGGAGCAAAAAAACTCCCAAGCCACTCTGGGTGGCAAGGGTAGGCTCTCCACAGACTTAACGGTATGCTATACAAATGCTCGCAGCCTACTAAAAAAAATGGCGGAGCTCAAGTCAGTGGTGAATAAAGAAAAACCAGACGTTATTGCTGTCTCGGAAACTTGGTTAACGTCAGAAGTATTAGACAGTGAAATCCAGTTGACTGGTTTCATAACCAGTAGGGCTGATAGATTAAACCGTAGGGGAGACGGGGTTATTCTGTACTTGAAAAGTACCCTAACCATAAGATTAGCTGAGACAGTAGCACATGTTTTAGGGACATGTGAACTGGTGAGATGTAAGTTGAAATGCCGACGGCAAGATATTGAATTAGTTGTAGTATATCGCAGTCAAGAATGTGTAGCAGATGATTTTATCCTAAGTAAACTTAAGTCCTTGTGTAATAACGGTAAAAGCGTTGTAGTTGGCAACTTTAATGCACCATATATAAACTGGGTTAACTTAGAAGTAGGTTCATCGGTATCATCGTTCGACTGCAAACTTTTAGAAACCTCGATTGGATTAGCATTATTCCAACACATTAGAGATCCCACAAGATACGACTTAAGAAACTCTTCCTCTCTTTTAGATTTAGTCTTCACATACGGTGATGACGTTGGTCAAGTGGCTTTTCTCCTACCACTTGGGAGAAGTGACCATACAGTCATCTTATTTTAATTTATGGCTGAGATTTCCTGTCAAACAGTTGCACCGGCCCGTCCCAACATATGGAAAGCAGATATGCAGGCAATTAACTCCGCAGCATCGGCACAATCTGCACTCAAGCAGCCCAAGAGAATATTCTCGTACATAAACTACAGAACAAGGATGCATCATTGGATTCCCAACCTAACTAAAGTAGGAAGTGAATCTGAAATGGTAGAGGAAGGTCAGGAAAAAGCAGAGGCTATGGCTGACTATTTTGGGGCAGTTTTCACTCAGGAACATCCTCTAGAGAAAGAACCAGGCCCAAATACAGAGTAAACAAACCAGCTGCTCACCGTGGGCTTCGACCAAAACGATGTGCTTAAGGCTCTTAGCACCCTAAACATGGAGAAGTCAACAGGACCAGATGAACTACACCCCAAAATCTTGAGACATATTGCCCAATATG